ATGGAATGTCAAGAAGCTTGAGACACAAAATGTTTTCCCGAATCTGTAATGCTTGGTTACGGGTATTTATGCTTAATGCCATATCACATCACATCATCAGGGAGTATAAGTCAAGCAGAGAAACACGTCTCCTGAAAATACCTTTAGAGACCACACTGAACTCAATTAAATATATACTGAGGATATACTAAGTGCAAAATATTGAGTTACATTCTAGAGAAATAAAGGCAAATCCGATGTAGTTGGTTTATAGCCCAGAGGAGAAGGGTACAAGTAGATTAGTAGTATTACTTCTGACTGTTAGTTGCTGCAGGGTCCACACATACAGAATACAACTGCTCCCCAGGCTTTCAATGCTGTGACCTTCCCAAAGCAGATCACCATGTTGTCTACTGAGGTGTCTCTGTGTGGACTTGAACCATGACTTTTGTTGTTGTTGTTTTATTTTTATTTCTTAATCATTTTATTGGGGACTCATACAACTCATCACATTCCATCCATTCATCCATTGGGTCAAGCACATTTGTACATTTGTTGCCATCATCATTCTCAAAACATTTGCTTTCTACTTGAGCCCTTGGTACCAGCTCCTCATTCCCCCCCCCCTCCCCACTCCCCTTCGCCCTGAACCCTAACTTTTACTGAACCATTTGTACCACCTAGGGATGCCTTTTCCCCTCACCTTCTATTAATAATCGCCAAAACAGAATGAGATGAGAAAGGTGCTTTGGATTTTTTTTACAGAGATCCAGATAAATGAGCAATGAGATTAATTGGGAAGAGGCCAAGAGAAGATGGAGAGGTTAGTTGTTCGCAGCCATCAAGTTGGCCCCTGGCTCATGGCTACGTCCTGCCCAATTGGAAGTCACGATTGTGATCCACAGGGCTATCTTGGGCTAATTTTGGGCAACAGGTCACCAGACCTTTCTCTCTAGTCTGACTTAGTCCTGAAAGCTCTGCTGAAATCTGCTCACTACACATAAGCCACTTCTGAAGGCTAAGTGGTTCATGTCCGCACATTGACATGCATTCTTCTACCTCTGAACCACACTGCACTCTTGGGAGAGAATAGAAGACACCAATATTGGAACCAGTAGCTGGGTTGTATATCAAAAGCATCCCCGTGTAAATATTTTACACACACACACACACACACACACACACACACACACACACCTTCCAGCTGAGGGACTTTCGCATGTGTGTTTACTAGTATCAATTTATACTCCCACCCCTGAATGGGCAAAGGAGAAAAGAGGTGATCTTCAAAGAGGTTATCTTTAAGGCGTCTCTTGAAAATTTAGCTAAGCAGTTCTGGGAGGGGAGAATCAGTGAGGAGGGAAGGGAATTTATTCCAGGAAGAGCAGAGCAGGAACAAAGGGGTGGAAATTACTGGCATGTTAGAGAACGAGCAGCTTGGTGACGTTAGAGCATGTGTGGGAGGGGCTGGCTGACTGGAAATGAAGGCTGAGGTCACAAGTGGGAAGCCTGACCTAGGTCTCAGTTTTGTGGGAAGCCTGACCTGGGTCCCAGTAGCATGCCAGGGACACATTTTAAGTGAATTCATTTTGACTTTTCCAGAGTATAAGTCTCATCCTCTGTGGATGATGGGGCTCAGTAATTATTGACTGGGCAGTTTCTTGAATTAACTGGGCTGGGAGAAGTGAAGGAGAAGCGAGTGATTCCCTGGCAGAGGGCCAGGGGAGTAAGCAGTAGTTGGAAAACAGGGGATGGAACTCATATTAAAAAACAGTACAGACACCAAATTGTTCGATACTATGTGCTTTACTCAGTATCAAACAGGTATGTTAGTGTGTTCCAATTTTTAAATATACAAAGGATCTTTAAAAAGTGTGAGGGTATAAGGCTATAAAAATATACAATATCTTTGGAAAGATGGGAAATAGTTACGACTGGCTGTGACTCATGGAGAAAGGTCCGAGGAAAGAGAAGGAGAGGGAGAATTAACTTTGGTTACCTCTGGGCTGTTGACCCACATAATTACCTAATAGCTGGTCAAAAGAACATGTACAGTAATTCCCCGTACACTGCTAGGTACTTTCGTAGAGACAGGGAAAACATTTCAGAGACGAAGCTAGGTTTTTAGTTCTGTCTTGGAGACTACTTAACTCTGCAGCTGTTGCCAAATTAATTAACTTCCTTTACTTCCAGTGTCATGGTGGCTTAATGAGTTCTCTGTTGGGCTGCCAACCACAAGGTCAACAGTTCAAAGCCACTAGCTGCTACTTGATAGAAGAGGAAGTTTTCTACTCCAGTAAAGAGTTACAGTCTCAGAAACCCACAAGGGCAGTTCTAACCTGTCCTTTAAGGTCGCTGAGTCAGAACTGACTTGATGGCAATGAGTTGGAGACTTTCTGTCCTTTGTTCTGTGGAAATAGGATTAAGACTGGACAATTCTGAGTTGCTAGAAAATGATTAAAATAATCTTCTGCAAAGCATCTGGTAAATTATGTGGCAAAGACTAAATCCTCAGCATGCTTAGGCTATGTCTGTTATCAATAAAACTTCTTTGATTTTAATGACAAGTAAAGTTCCCTGGTCGGATCACATGAATCTTCCTACATTAAATATTTACATCGTACAAAACGATTAATGTAATCCATCTGATGAGCACTATCCGTTACATATCTCTTTCTAAAAAATGTAGGCAGAATCCTATGGTGCATTTGCATTTGTAGGGAGGTATTCATTTTTGTTTGTCTTTAAGTGGCTTTGAATCTCAATGGATTGAGGCTATGTATTCCCAAGGGACAAAAGTCCAGCTAGGTACCAGGAGGCACCAAGAAAAAAGATAACTTGCTATACTTGAGGACCTGGCAAGCCCAGTTCCACAAACAGGTGTGACCTTCAACTAATCAAAGCCAAAATTTGGCACTTGAGATGGAAATATTGCAATGAGGCACCTAGTTCTGCCCATGTATCCACTGGTAAGACGTCAAGTCACATGTTGGGGGAGGGTATACTCCTCAAGCATTTACTAAGGTTTGTGGGTTCTCCCTAGATGACTCTGTTCTATAAACGGATTTAACTGTGGCAATAACAGCATTGTAAGTGCTATGAAACACCACTCTCCAAAGCCTTGCCACTTGGTGTTTTAAACAGCCACATCATTATTCAAGTGTAGCAGTCAAACAAAAGTTTCTTTGTTAGGCATTGCAATGAATAATTTCAGGCCATTTTCATATGAGATGTCCCTGCTTAGATCTGCCCCACCCTATAAAGATGTAGCATTAGAAAATAAAACAGTTGGGAGTTTGGGGAAAGAATTTTTATTAAAGGCAGGAAATAAAGATGAGCATCTTCCTGGATTTTTCAGGATTGCTCATAAATGTTTAAAGCAAAATGAAGGCCTGAGGCCAGAGCAACAAGCGTTTCCCTTCATCTGTGGCACTACAGGGAGAAAGGGTACCCTGGGAATGCTAACAAAAACCCATCGACATCATTAGTCACACAGTTCTCTTTGAGGAAGATGGGTCTTGAGAGAAATGTCAATACTAGTCTGTAGAGAAACAACAGTAAAACGTAAACATTAATTTCGAAAGAAGCTTTCATTATTGCTGTAAATATGTAACGGATGCATGCTCTGGAGGAATGAGTGGCTTCACAGTGTAGCACACAAGTCATGTTTCCGAGCCACAGGAGGGCACACACTCACATTTAGCGTCCCTCTGCCCGTGGCTGAAGCAGGAGGTTGCATATCACACTTGAATGAAGGCTGGATTTAAAGACTAATCTCTGGCTATATATAGACAGCACTGCTAGTTTGATGCCCTCCCTCTGCCCTCTCCCTCCCTCCATTTCCATGAATCCCAAGATCTGAGTTAAAAAGAGGCTGGGAACTCCAGGCAAAGGGAAGAGGCCCTTCCCTACTCCTCCCCAAGGCGTTCTCTCACAAACCATGCAGTCTCAGTGCAAGTGTGAATCGCTCCCTAACAGCCTTAGTGGGCACTATAAGAGCGACTCCATCAGGTCTTCTACAACAGCTTCCCGGGAAGCCGTCAGGGAGCTGACAAGTAGTGGGGAGGGCGAGTCTTGCCAAAGGAGGGATACATTATCCCCAGTGTAGCCCCACTACACTCATCCTGGGGGCTCTCCTGCCACCCCCAGAGCCCCATCCTTGGCCTCCCCGGGAGCTGTATCTGGCGGTGCCCTGCACCAGAAGACGCTGCACATCCGCCACTTGCACCGCGTGGCTGGCCCCGCCAGTTCAGGCTCCCGGGGTCTCCGGGGCGGCCAGGTGTGACGAGAGGCAGCACCGAGGGCGTCCCTCCTGGGGCACAGAGAGCACTGGGACACGAGCTGGCGGTGGGCGAGGGTAAGTTTCGTCAGGCAGAGCGGCGGGAGGCTCCCCAGCGCGCACATGCTTCCTCGCGGCCACCTCTGGCCCCCGAAGAAACCCCTGGAGGGGCGGCGGCCGCAGCTCCAGCAGCCCTCGCCGCTCCATCGGCCCCACCTGCGTCGAGCTTACCTGTCTGAGGAGGTAGCGGCGACGCGCGAGGCTGCGACGATTCTGGCAGCGGAGGCGGCGGCAGAGGCGGCGGCAGACAATGGAGGAGTGAAGGACAGACACATTGACACCGACACACTGAGCCCGGAGCGGCCCCGCCTCCCGCCCCGCCCCGGCCTCGCAGCCCGCCCCCAGCACGGGCAGCGTCACTCCCGGGGGTCCACAGGGGGTGTCTCTCAGGCCGGAGACCTCTGCGCGACCCCAGAAGCCGTCATCCAATCAAGAACGAGCAGCGAGAGAAGTCGGAACGCTTCGTTGCTGCAAAGGTCTGTAGCGGCCGGAATGCGGAGAGAGAACGAGTCGGAGGAATGTGACTCCTACCCTCTGATTTTCTCATTTGGTTTCGTCTGCCAAGATTAGTCCAATGGGAGCCTCTCGCCGCCGCCTCCCTGGCTCCGCCTCCCGATCCGGCCAATGAGGCTCAGAGGGCGGTCCTTGCAACTGGGCCTGCGGACACTGCTGTCCCGGCTCGCTGGGGCTCGCCCGCTGCACGCCCCCGGCTGGAAGGGGTCGAGGAGCCGATTGCTTCCGCGGTCCGCTGCCCTGTGCCTTCGAGAGCTGTCCCGTTGCTGCTGACGTCCCCGACACTGACACAGCTTTTCTTCCCAAGAAACAGAATCACTTTCAAACTGGCGGAAGCAATGGTTCACATAAAGAAAGGCGAGCTGGCCCAGCAGGAAAAGGAGCTGCTGGAAGTCATCGGAAAAGGTATGGGCGCTGGATTGCGACCCGAACGCCCGCCAGTGCCGCCAGCGGGGTGGCGGTGCTCGAGGGACGCCCCTGGCCCGGAGGACCCTGGGGATGCTGGTCTGCGAGGTTGGCAGCCTCGTCCTGGGAAATGGCGATTGTCCAACGGGCCTGGGACGGGATGTGGGGCGCGAGGGGTGGACAGAGGCAGCACTGCTGGGACTGGAGCGGGCATGGCCGAGGCTCGAGCTCGGCTCCAAAAAACCTCCTGAGGTGATTGTGAACCTGGTCCTTCGTGGCAACGGTAGCTTTGTCGTTTCAGGTTCTTCTCGGTTGTCTTAGGGGACATGTGGACTTCCGGAGGCAGAAAGATCTAGAACCCTGGCGGATCCCTGCTCTTGTTGGGAAGTGGAGGAGCTCGTTCCCAGAGGGCTTCCTTGTAAGGCACAGAACAAGGCCTGCCATTTGCTGCATTGGGTCCTCCCCGCCTTCTTTGCAGAAGACCCAAGGGTGGCAAGGCCTGCACGTTCCTCCGCTCCTGCAGCACGTAGCGATCTCTCCATTGAGCCCGCCTGAGTTTTGCCTTCCACCCTCCCCACGCCCTCCCCATTCCCTCCGCTCCAGATCCCTGGGAGAGACGATCTGGCTTGCTGCAGCCGGAAGCCATATTTCCCTCGTAGTCACCAAGAGAACATCCCGGGGGAGTTCCCTGGAGTCCCGTTACCTGATGGGTGACACATGCGTGGCTCGATGGCTTCTGGGATGGGGATGCGGGGGTAGTTTATTGGTTGTTTGAAGTTGCAGGAGAAGATAGTCACATCTGTCCAGCAATGACAGTGGAGCCAACTGCTGCCACACAAGCTTCCTCATTCCTTGGTTTCTTTTTATGCTGTAGGCAAGCGGGCAGACTCAATTTTGGACCCTCAGAAAGCAACGCCGGTTTATTTTTCATACCTGCAAAGACATTTTAAACGTCCAGGGGAAAAACATAGATTTTTTTCAAAGATTCGATTCGATGTTTAACAACTCAACAAGTGGTAATGGGCTGTGTTCACCCTTTTGACCTCAGTTTCCCCAAGTCAATCACAGCTGTAGCTACCAAGACTAGTGTTCTTCGCCTAGAATTTTGTGGATGTGAGCTGAGGTTTTCGTGGTTTATACTGCACGATTCCGGCTGTTCCCTTGGGCTCTGCTGGCTTTCCCTTCTGCTTGACTCTGAGCAATTTATCTCTGTCTGGGTTGGCTGGGGAATTCAGTTCAGCAACCGTGTGAGTCTGAGCGGTGTGCCCGGGACTGTGCTCGATGAGAGGGAAACAAATGATCAACTCTCAATTCAGGGGTGCAAATTCTGTCTTTAAACAAGGCAAGGGGCTCTCTCCTCTGTCCTCTCAAACGTGTCTCCCAGGGGACAGCTCTGTAGGATTTTCTGAAGGTGGTGCGAAGAATTCTGGGACAAATTCCTAGATGCTCACCAGTTTTTTAGTTTTTATTTTTAAATAGTACATAAAGTAGAACCAATATGAGGTTATTCGGTGGATATTCCTGATTCCAGACCCACTCCAGCCAGTTGGTGCCTGAGTGTGCAGCAGTTTACTGTCCTCTTCTGAGAAGTGCTGCGGCCTTGGTAGGTAATGCATTCTTGTCAAGTGAGAGCCCACAGACCTGACCGCCCCCTCAAAAACGAAACGAGAGAGAGGAGTGTTTGCTCTTGGGTGCTGTGGAGCCAGTTCCGGTTCCTAGCATCCCGATGCATGACAGAATGCTCTCATCCCAATTGTTCCATGTTTCAGCCCATTGTTGCAGCCCCTGTGCCAATCCCTCTCAGCGAGGGCCTTCCCTTCTAGGTTAGCAAGCAAGCCTGGTGACATAATTTATTGAATGTTATATTGAGCCAGACAATCCTAAACACCCGACATGTGTTTATACATTTAATCTTGGTGAAATATAATTTACTTTTAAGCTGTAGTATTCCGAGCAGCCATGGAGTGGTGGTTAACCATGAAAGTGTGGTTTGCAACCCAACCTCAGTCATTTCTTTGTGCATTGACCTTGAATCAGATA